TCGATATCTTTTTGGAGCCTGGATCGATCATTTCTATAGGCTCTGCAGCTATGTTGAGGTAATCGCAGCAGGATGCACCGGAAGCCCTGCAAGACGTTCGTCTTTGTCCCAAATGTGGGACCAAGAGCTACCTTCGGAAGAAAACCTGCATCAACATATATTGTTCGTATTATTGGATGAGGCAGGAACCGAATACCAACTTATGGGCAAGAGGGCCCGTACAGAATCAGGGCCGATCGTCGGGGTCCCAGGGCGGATCCTCGAGGCAACGATGCTGGAGTTGGTCATCTTGGAAAAACAGCGGGTATGCTGACGGTGTGTATCAGAACAAGCTGGAGGAGCAGCTGCAAGATTGCGAGGAGNNAGCTCCAGGAGCAATCGGATGAGCCAGAAGATGTCCCGGTCCCCTTTACAGGGGACGAGGAAATTCAGCTGGTGTATGAAAAGGGGCCCGCCGCCGGGGGCGGGCCCGTCGAGGAGGTGCCCAGCTCTGAGGAAGAGGGGATCCGTTTCCTCTGCAACCTGGAGAAGAAGAAAGCTTTGTCTTCCTACCAGGATTACCAAAGTGCCAGTTTGGCATGGCAAACCGCCGGCCAGGAGGTTAAGGCTTCAACTGCCTTGCGTGTGGCAATTAAGATGGAGAAGGAGCACAGCTATGGCAGCCCGAAGGCAGCGCAAAAACGGCGCTTTTCTGTGCCGGTCATGAAAGAGGAGCCAGGTTTGGAGGAGGAGCCTGCAGCTGCGATGCCGGAAAGCGGCGGCCGTGACCCGCAAGCTCCTGGGGAGGAGCCGGCTGCGGCTATGGAGGACAGCTCCGGGGCCCATGATCAATCCGAAGACAACGCTTCTTGGAATGAGCAAGGTTGGGATTCTTGGCATGCACGTGGTCGTTGGAAGAGCTCTGGCCAGTCTTGGAAGACTGACATGGAAAAGTACAACGACCTGGAAGAGCAAGAAGACCAAAAAGCCAGAGCCTACTGGGGCAGCAATCGCTGGCAGCGTGACTGGGTTGATGACGAAAAAGCTGTCGCTGTCAAAAGAAACAAGGGCAAGAAAAGGAAATTGTGGCTCGCTTCGCAGATTGAGACGCTCAAGAAGCAGGGAAGATGGGTTGGAGGAGCTCCGTCGGAATCCTCAAAGAAACTTCGTCTGATCCGTGAGGCCTGGGTTAAAATATGTGATATCATGGTATGCCCCTTGGTAGGAGCTAGGTTCTGTACAGGCTGAGTGCATGTGTTAAGTTGCTGTAACCTCAACATGAAGCACACTTTCATTCTGGTTGCAGGCGGAGGCCAAGGAGTTCGGCCGCCAGGGCGGCGGTGCATCTTTGGAGAACCCAGATCCAGCAGCGGATCCCGATGCGGCTGCTGATGAGGCTCCGGAGGACCCCGGGGCATCGGATAGCATGGCGAGCTTCAGATCCATGATTCAAGCCGCCGACTCCATAGAGCACGTGGTTGCTTTGGAT